TCTACTTTATTTTATCTTTTATTTTTATAAGAAAATGATTTTTTTTCAATAAAAAAAATAAAAAGCCCCTCGTGACTCCAATTTGTCCTCTTGGGAGTCCGAGTAAGAGCAGACATTATCCTTTTGGGATCGTTTCTATTCTCCTCTTAGGAGCTTGGTAGTTCTTTATTTGTGTTTGTTGTGTCTGTTGGGTCGTGAGTCTTGCTTTTGGTTTCTAGAATTACTAAATACGGTTTTAGACGGTCTTCTGACATATCCTTTCAACTTATTCAGTCTTTGGTTGTATCATTCAACTATGGGTTGTACCTTTTGCACATTTGTGCATGTTTTATCACTGTTCTAAAAATCGGCCTAGGCGGCCGCCTAGGCCGCGCCTAGGCGTTAGGCGGTGCCCGGGTGCCTCCGATTTGCACAAATCGGTAGAAAAAATCGGTCAGGCGGCTAGGCGGCCCTTGGCGGGCGCGGCGGCCAGGCGGTTAGGCGGCGCCTTGGCGGGAATAGGCGGACCTAGGCGCTCCTAGGCGGGCTCGGCGGCAATTTTTTAATTTTTTTTAATTTTTTTAAATTTTTTAAATATTAATTACATTATTTTATTCTCATGTTTTCTTTAAAATATATTAATTTTATTATTTGGACTTAGGTGTGTCGATTTATTATAAGTTGAGATAGTTTTATTTTGTATATAGTCAAACTAAATAAAAAATAAGGTATTTAATATTGATTTCTAGACCCCGACTAGGCGCTGTAGGCGCTAGGCGCTGGTCGAGCTCCTAGCGGACGCCTAGCGACTTTTAGAACACTGTGTTTTATATATAAATTCTCTATCGTTCCGAACAAAAAAGACTCTAATTTGTCTGGTATCCGCATCAAGCTGCAAGCAATTTAATTTAATTTATATAGTTTTTTTTTTTTTTTTTTTTAATCAAACGACAACAATATATAAATTCTATCCGAATTATTAGACAATACAAAAACCAGCACAAAACCTAAGACAAAACCCCTTGGACTGACAGAAACAGCCAAGGGTACAGTTTACAACAAAAACACTTTCAAAATAAAAGACAAAGAACTCCAAACACTGGAGACTAGAACCCGTACACAGCCCGAACTTACCAAAACTACCAAA